CCCCACACCCACACCCCACCCACACCCACACCCACACCCACACACCCACACCCAAAAAATCAAAAAATAAATGAAATACTTTACTAAAGTTAGAATCGAAAACTGATTAGTTTAAAATCTCGATATCTTTATAGAGTTTAGATCTTATCTAATTTAGTATATGAATTTTAAAAAAATCGAACCTTATATTCGACTTGATTATGATTTCTTTTTATTATTTCCCGTTTAATATTCAATTAAAGCTGTTAGAAGTTTGTTAATAGGGTTTAATAGTTTTGTAAATACAGACGGATTCAAATAATATTCTTGATTATCATTAGCAATTTCTGATAAACGTGTAAAAACACTTTCTAAATGTAATAAATGTTGAGATGAAGCACCAGCACGTTGTACTACATCAGCAAATACTTTAATTGCTTGAGAAAAAATATTTGATGTGAATAATTTATGAAGAAATATTTCCATTAATATATCATGTTGTGTATCATCGTAGAACAATAATGACAATAGTTCAGGTGATATACAAAAAAACCTTTAATACCCAGGTCTATGGATACGGCTATCCGTATTTTCAACGTCAATTTGCTTCATACGACACCGTAAACGGACCGTATTTTCTCGTAATCATGGGCACAGTAATACGGCACCGTATACAAGGCCGTATTTTCACAGTATACGGGACGTAATCCCATTATGATAAGGCCGTATTTCTGTGCCCGATATTATGGCCCTATACGGTCCGGTTATGCGTCGTAAGGTAACCATAAACGGTCGTTTACGGACCGTATCGTTCGACCTGGGTATATAAAAACATTTATTAAAAACTTGAACAAAAAAAAAACAAACTTATTTACCCTCATTTTTAGCAATTTCGATAATTTTAAAATCATATGCGCCACGAATATCTTCATAATTTGTAAATTTTCGTTTAAGTTGCATTAATGAAGAGTTTCCCTTTTGTTGTATCTAATATAGAAACAAAAGCTTCTGATAGAATCATTTCTTTTTATTATTGCTATATATTTACTTTAAAGCAACCTGCACCGGAAAGTAAATCAACAATATGTTGAATGTCACGTCGATCATTTTCATGTATATCTTTCATCACAAAACTGACAATATCTTCAGCGTGTGATTCTTCATGGCTTTTAAAAAATGATAAAATACGGTTTAATACTTTTTCTTGCATAGCTAAATTAATAAACAATTTATCAAGATAAAAAAAATAATTTGCAAAAAAAAATCAAACCTGGTTCATAAAATGTATGATCCCAGAACGAGCATTACGACAGTCGTATACGACCGTATTTCGCAGTATTACTTGCCGCCAGAATTACGACTGTATATCGTCGTGTCGTATACAGCGAAATACGACTGTATACGAGCACCGTAAACGATCGCACACGGTCATATACAGCACCAATTGTCATCATACTCCGTATAACGATTTACTATCCCTCCACTCTCCAAACAGTGCAAAAAATATCACTTGGGTTGCCAAGTCTGGTCGGAGGTTTCAATTCTTTTGTCGTGTAGCTAAGATGATAGATCATCGAAACTGCATACGAAAAACAGAATTAGAACCTCCAGCCAAACTGGACATCCCTATTTATTTAAATTAATACGACCACTTAAATTTATCTTTGTGAATAATCTAAAAATAAAGGATAAAATTTCTTTAAATAATCTAAAATCGAAAACAACAAAATTAGTTGAATAATCTAAAATAATAATAGAAATTTCTTTAAATAATCTAAAAATAAAAATAAAAATTTAGTTAAATATTGTAAAATAAATATAAAATTTATTTAAATAATCTAAAATTAAAATCTATTAAAATAATCTAAAATTGAAAATTAAAATTTATTTGAATTATTGATTCGAGTAGTTTTACTATGAAGAACAGCAGTTAGAAAACACGTTCGAGCTGTGCATACAATTATTTTATTATTTTTCTTTGAATAATATAGAAACTATAAATTTTCATTTGTTTTTCTCTATACTCTCAATATAGAAAGTCGCATTTTTTTTAATTTTTCTATAGCAATAGTATAGAAGATGGTTAGTTTTATTCCTTGCTTTTCTATGTTAATCATATAGAAAATCCTAATTTTTATTTCTTATTTTTCTATATTAATATTATAGAAAATATTAATAATATAGAAAAATTCATTTATAATTCTTATTTTTCTATATTGATAATATAGATAACAGTTAGTTTTGTTTCTTATTTTTCCATGGTAATAATATAGAAAATATAAATTTTCATTTCTGTTTTTCTATACTCTCACTTTAGAAAATCGCATTTTTTTTCTATAGCAATAGTATAGAAAATGGTTAGTTTTATATCCTTAATTTTCTATGTTAATAATATAAAAAATTCTAATTTTTATCTCTTTTTCTTATATTATTAATATAGATAAATAAGAAATAAAAATGAGATTTTCTATATTACCAATATAGAAAAATAAGAAATGAAAATTAAGATTTTCTATATTATCACTGTAGAAAAATAAGAAATGAAATTAACTGTCTTGTATATTATTAGCACAGAAAAAAAAGAAATAAAACTAACTGTTATCTATATTATCAATATAGAAAATTAAGAAATAAAAATGGGATTTTCTATATTATTAATATAGAAAAATAAGAAATAAAACTAGCTGTCTTGTATAGTATTAGTATAGAAAAATAAGAAAAAAATTAGGTACACAGCTCGATCCTGTTTTTCAACTACTGTTCTGCATAGTAAAACTAATCGAATCAGCAATTCTCGAATGAGCAAAAGAGCCGGACAGACTATTCACGATCAGATAAGAACAGGCAAGATCGACATTATGTCCTGGTGTATGTTTCTTTTTGTATGAATCTTATACGATCTGACAATATGTGACAAGAAGCATTCAGTCTGTGCTGATATGTTTCTTAATCTTTAAATCTCGTAAGATTTTTGCTCGCATGTTATAGTCAGAATCTGATGAAATCTTTAAAAAAACGAAGACATACTATATTATCGGATCTTGTGATAAGATCATAGAAAAAATCTTATAAGGATAAGATCTTATTGGATCGTGTACGATCTGACATCAGGTTTTTTGCCGTGGGAAGAGTTGTATGGCCGACACATGCAACTCAATTTACGACTAAATTACAACCATATACGGTCGTATACTACACTCGTGCACGATAGTCGTTTATTTTCAACGTATACGTTGATCGTACTTGAACGTATGGCATCGTATACGACCGTGTACTATCGTG